GGCCAGACACTGGGACACATAGAAAATAAAGTATGGACCTTGCTCACAGAGTATGTAATTTACTTTTTAACTACAAAACCATAAACCCTTCAAACCAAGCACTCACAGCTCCAGCCTCATTCACTAACACCCTAGGATGATGAAGAAGTGCCCTGGATTGCAAATAACTGGTAACTAATTAACACCTGCAATCAAGATCATAAAAGGAAAATCCTTAAGGCCAGCTGTGTTGGCCACAGACCTATGCTCTCTCATCATGAGAGGTCCCACTGAGCAACAAGTGTGTTCTTCTTGCTTGTCTTCTACCAGGAAGAAGTGTGCATAGAGAGAAAGAGCTATAGCTTACTGTTTTCCTGTATTTCCAGAAGCTGTGGTTTACATACATTATCTTGTTGAATCCTTGCATTTTAATTCCACATACCCATTTTACACATGGAAAGTAGTTGTTCATGTTGCCATAGGGAGTCTGACTCCAAAGCTATCCTTGTAGTATACTGCTTAGATATGTTTAAGAAGGAAAGGAAAGATAAAAGTACATCTGGTTGGAAGTAAGGGAAGGTGGAGAGAATTAAACAGCCCAACAATTGCCTGTTTGAAATCTGAATATCTGTGATTTAACAGAGTGCAGAACCAAAGCAATAACAATTGCCTTTTTCTTAAAAAACAAAACAAAACAAAATAACAAACCTCTACTTCTTGGCCTCCAAAACTAGCAAATATTCACTTTCATCATTATTGCTTCAGAAATTGAAAAAATTATTATTATCCTTATTATTGCTTTTGGCAATACTGAGATTTGAACTCAGGTCTTCACACTTGCTAGGTTGGTGCTCGACTGCTTGAACCACACTCCCAGCCCTTCTTGCTCTGGTCATTTCTGAGTTAGAGTCTCACTTTATGCCAGGACCAACCTGGACAGTGATCCTCCTATTTTATGCTTCCCAGTGGAGCTGGGATAACAGGCTCTTGGCACCAAGCCCAGCTATTGGTTGAGATGAGGACTCATAAATATTTTTGCCAGAACTGGCCTTGAACCATATCCTCCCCATTTCAGTCACTTATTAGCCACCATAGGAGGGCACTGAGATGGCTAGGTAAGCCCTTTACCACTTCAGCCATGCATCACTCCTTTTTTGCTCTTAGTTTGGTTTCCAGAAAAAGTCTCTTGCTTTTTTCAAAACTGATTTAATAGCATAAATTAGTTGTACAAAGGGTAATGTGATATTTACATACATGCCTATGGTATATTTTGTTCAAGTCTACCTTGTCTATATTTATTTTAGCTCCTCTTCCCTGCCTTGTAAAACAATTTTAGTGGGTTTCATTATGCTATTTTCATATCTATATCTATAGATATACATGTTAGATAGATATAGATATAGATACACACACACACACACACACACACATATGGTAACTTTGATGATATTCACCCTCTGTCTCTTTCTCCTCTCCCCACTCCCTCCCTGCTGCTTCCTCCCATCAAACAGTCCTCTTGGTATAATCATGTCATATGATTTTTTAAGGTCTACTTTCTGCCTATGAGTGAAAGCATGAGATACTCATCTTTCTGAGTTTGGTTCATCTCACTTACCATCATGCTTTCCAGTTTCATCTGTTTTCCTGCAAATGACATAATTTCATTCTTCTTTATTGCTAAAGAATACACCACTGTATATACGTGCCACATTTTTCTTTATGCAATTACCAGTTGTTGAGCTCCTAGACTGATTCCATAGCTTGGCTGTTTGTAAATAGCGCTGCTATGAACATTGGCCTAGGCTGGCCTCAGACTGTGATCCTCCTACCTGTACCTCTGAGTAGCTGGGTGTGCACCACCACCAGCTTGTAAAATTTTTATATTTAAGAAATAAAGTTACCTGCATTTTCCTCTCTGATACTTGGAGCCAATTATCCTTATCATGTCGATGTCTATTATGACTCTCCCCATGCATTTTTTATAATTATAAAGATTGTATTTGCTGACTTAAGGCATTTTGGCTGTTGGACAAGTTCAGATTCCTATGGAAAAAATTAGCAGCTTCCAGTAATTAGAAAGTGAGTGGTGATTACTTCCCTTTACCACCTCATCACCATAGCTTTTGTAAAGCAAAAACTTGTCGTTTTCCTCTTCTGCTCATCAGCTGCTGGCCCTTGGCTGCTATAGCTACTGCTTTATAGCTTGGGAAGCCCACTCCTCACCTCCTGAAAGCTCTTGTGGCAGAAGTGGCCTTCTACAGCAGAACGGGCCCCTACTTATCAGGAGCCCTGAGATGGAGATTCGTAGACTCTAGCCCTTGAGGATTGCGGACACCAAACATTCTTACACCTTTTACATGCAAGGCTAGGAGGGTGTGGACATCCATGTAGCACTGTGCTGAGGGAGATGCATCTCTTCTTAACGCTGCATTCAGTGCCATAGTGTTGCAGCTTGAGTAATTGACCACGATGAGGATATATACACCATGGGAATCAGGACTACTACAAATGAAGGCTTGCTTTTTCAAAGCTGTTGTTACACATTTACTTGGGCCTGACTGAATTATATTCCATACTTTTTTCTTTTAATATAAAGACATTTTTCCAGTTTTTTATTATTTCGGAAGTATTACAGGTTCTTTGTGCATGCATGTGTTTCTTTAATACATATCATCAGAAATGGAGTTTCTAGTCCATGAACTATGCACATTCCAATTTTATTTGATAGCATCAAATGGTTAAATTTGTCCTGCCAACAGCCATATGACATGTCCTGTTTCCTAACATTTTTGTTAGTACTTAGTACTGTCAGTCTTCTTCATTTCTGCCAATCTGAGCTTGAGTTACCATTTCCTTGTTATTTGAACTTATATTTTTCTGATTACTCGTGAGGTTGAAAATCTTTTTATATGTTTTTTGGCCATTGGAGTTGGACTGTTTATGAATTTCTTATTCATATTTTGTCCAGTCTTCTCTTAAATCATATCTCTTTTGTCTGTCATTGACTTGTAGGAATTCCTTGTATTTCCTAGATGATTTTTTATTCAGTTATACGTGGCATAATTTTTTTTATCTCATCTGTGGCTTGTCTTTTAATTATGTTGTTGTATATTTGTCATAAAGAAGATTAAATTTTAATTTTTTATTATTTTATCCTTTATGATTTCTAAACTTTTTTCTTATTTAAACAATCTTTCTTTGACCTCAGGGTTCAGGGTGTTTTCCTATACTTTCTGTTTCAAAGTTTTGATTTTTGTATCTACATCTTTGTCTAGAGTTTATTTTTGAGACTAGTCTAAGGTAAGACCTTAATTTACTCTTCATATGGAAATGCTGTTTCTCCAACGTTATGATAAACAAAACCAAAGTTCTGCTGATTTTTGTTTCCTCTTAAACTTGAATGCCCCATGTATGTCTATACCTGTTTTGATTCTGTATTCCTTTTTATAAACTTAATGATTTTTCATTTGGCAACGTCACACTCTAATTACCAAAACTTTATAAAATTTCTTGATACTTCTTTTATTTATGACAATTCTTTTCTTTTTATTCTTCCTTGTGGGGAGTGGATTATGAGAAGCCTATGAGAACTTGACATAAGCACAGTTGTGCTCAAGGATCTACAGACTGAGATTGGCATGGGCCCAACCGCAGAAGAGAACCAGAGGCAAGATGCAGCACACGTGCTGCTCCTAAGTTGCTTACATTTAGAGAAGTAGGAACACAAGGCAGGTTTCTCTTGTTGCAATGTCATGGCGCCTCCCAGAGAACTGTTGCTCCACCTCCTTGTTTACCACTGGATATAAAAGACTTGCTGAAGGAGGATGCAAAGGGTTTTTTTATGGGTTTTGATTGGCTGCCTGCAGGCTGAATGATGCAGCTAGCTGTGTGTGTCTCCACCAGAGCAGCTTTCTGAACCGAGAACTTTATACATAGGCTTTAGAAAACCTACACTAAAGAAAAGCTAAAGAGAACATGGGACAGTCCAAGTCTGAGGACCGAGACTTTTAAGAGTTATGCTAATGCAGTTTTTGGAGGCAGCTGCTCTTGTTTGTCTGCAAGTCTGAGCACAGAGGCTTTAAGAAAGCTAAAGAGAGAACATGGGACAGTCCAAGTCTTAGGGCAAAGACTTTAAGAGAGATTATGCTAAAGAAAAGCCAAGAGAAAACATGGGACAGAGTGAGGCTAAGGAAAGAGACTTTAGAGAACAGAAAAGAAGACTTTAGAAGCAAGGTTTTAAATAAAGACTTTAGGACAAGATTTTAAAGAATTGTAAAGGAGTAAGGCCTTAAAGAATAAAGAATAAGAGAAAAGAAGGAAAGTGAATGAAGTGAATAATAGAGTAAAAAAGCAACGAGGCTGTTGTGCATCTTCATCTGAGCAACCAACACACCTGACCCCAAATTTCTGCGTGTCTGTTTGTCTATCATTCGTCCTTTCTGCATCTCCAGTAGCCCCCAGTTAAGCCACTTAGGTTGGAGAACCAGGAGTGAGAGAAAGCTCGCTCACTTCCATTTCAGAATTTTATTGATTCTAGGAAGTTTATCCTTTTATGTAAATTTCAGAAACAGTTTGTCAGTTTGGCAAGTTCCCCTGAAAACCTTGTTAGGATTTTTACTGAAATGACGTTGAATTGATAGACTAATATTAGACAAATCCAAGAACATAACATACAATACACATACATATGAGAGAGAATATGGTCAGGGGAAAGGGAGGGGTCGTGTCTTTTTACAACTCTGTTCATCTTTTATTACATTTAAGTGCATTATAATCACTTTAAAGATTATTTTTATATCTATTGTGAAAGCATGATGGAGAAAATCTTTATATGTTCACATCAGTATTAATTTTTCAAATGTTTTCCCTGTCTCTGCTGCATAAATTTTTAAGGTAGGCTTGACCTGCTTTTGAGACGGTTGATGACATTTTCTTTGACTACCTTTTAAAACACTGCAGTGCATGCAGAGGGTCAAAGTTTCTAATATGGCAGTCTGGGCAAGGTCCAGCAGGTTTTTATGACAAAGTATTTTTTGCTAAAATCAGTTCATCTGCAACAATGGTTTGGAGTAGAACCATTTGTGTTGTCTCTTTTACCTTGTTTCTTGTCCACATAGCAGGTGTATCGGTAAGTAGAACTCTGTTCCTCTGGATATTTAAAATATATCAATCATAACATAAATCACCTATTTTCTGTACATTTATTTCCTTTCAGATTAAGCATCTTTCTAAAGAAAATGGTAAGAATCAATTCAAATGCATAGTTTTCCTGAACTTTCTTTTGTTCCTCAAGACTAGTAACATTTTTCCCCTCTTTTAACAGATCATGATGCAGCTTTTCAGGAACAAAAGGATATTTCAGAAATTAATTTAGGTAGGTTCAATTTCTAAATTGTTAATGTCTTGAAATAATTTAAATCCCAGGGACAGGATTTCTGAACAGCACTTGCCTTTGTAATACTGTACTGTGTACCTTTTGGGGAGACATATTTATGGGTGCTTTATTGGGATTTGCAGTTTCTGAAAAGTGGCAAGGCGGCAAGATGAAGACAGTTAAATCAGATTTTCTAGGAGACCTTGTGAGTCTGCAGTGGATCTATAAACACATAAGAAGTTTTCTGTGTATGGAAGTTTCATTTTTTCCAGTTTCTATTTTTTTAAAAAAGGAAAGAATGGGTGATTATTTTGCTTGATAAAGAAAATTATAAAGATAAAGAAAATTATAAAGAATATAACTACAAGTTATATTTAGTGGGGGAAAGACTCTATTCTTCCTCTTTTTGCACATCATATATGCTAACCATTGTTTGGTTGGGAGCTTGTACATGTATTTCTGCTTACTTACCTAACTTGTAAATATTTTTCTTGAAAAAAAAAATCTATGGTCTCATCCATTACTTAGAGGATGGAGAAGCTATTAGTCTCTCATTTCACTCTGTGTCCTGCTTCTGAATTGAAAGAGAAGCCTTTCCATCTTGGTGTCTTTGGTTAGGACTGGTGGAAGTGGATGTATTCATGATCACAAAAACCATAGTTTGCAAAAGCTTTCTTATCTAGTAGCATCTTTATTAGTCCCATTTTGTAGTAGGGTAAATGCTCTTTTACTTTTGCAGGAAGGGACAAGAGGTTCCTTGTAGAAAAGATGACTCACTCAAGATCACAGGTTGCAGGAATGAGGCTTGCCTCCAGGTCTCCTGATTCATATCTGAAGAACTCAGTGCTATTTGAACATGACAAAACTAAAAAAAAAAAAAAAAAAAAAAAAAAAAAACCAGCCCTAAGTGGTTTCACAGAGAAGGCAACTGGAAATAGCTTAAGAATGACTGCACAGGCAGGGTAGAAAGAGTTTAGTAAGGTAAATCGCAAATAGGTCCCAACTCTTCACAGCCAGGCACCAAAATACCTTTCTTTAGTGTCAGACAGTCATGGTGTATGTAATTAAGAGGATCTACCATATTTTAAAACAAGGCTGGGATAAGAATTAGAATTTTCCTAACCTCATTCTTATATTTATCCAGTAAAAATAAATTTTTTCACCACCGAGACATTTGTTATTCTGCATCCTCACAACCACTTTTAAACTATGATGCCTGATAATGAAATCTCTCTACTGTGTGGAGAGTTTAGGCCAGTCTAACCAAGTCACCAGGATTGGTTGATTGGCTTAGCCATGTGGTCAGACTTTCACATCACAAATTGGTTAGGAAAATCATAGAGAGAAAGTTCTTACCTTTTACCACTTTGTCTCCAAGCCTCACAGTGATGATTCAACTTTTCTTACCCTCCCTCCTAAGACCTGCTCCTCTCAGTATTTTTGATTTCATTAAATACTGTACACTCCCTCCTTTTAGATTTTAGACTCAGAATAACAGAGTTACCTCTAACTCTTGTCTTTCTTGCATACCACCTTATAGTCTGTCAACAATTCTACTAGATAGGTCTCACTTTTTGTTACAGTTGAGAAATTTCAAGACCTGTTACTGCTCTCATTGTCCTGGAGTCACTTCACATCTGACCAGTCGATCCTTTCAGAGCCTTCAGTGCACTTCTCTTTGTACCCTCATCCTCTACAGACTGTGCTCAGATTATGTCCCTTCTCTGATCCAATTTTCTGATGACTTCTCCTCCAATGCAAAATAAAGACCATACAGCCTTGATTCCTAGGCCAGCATCAACAGTACCACTTAAGAGCTTTCTCAACAGCGCAGCATTTCCGGCCCTTCCTTATCTACAGAATCAGCATCATTTTGGCAGACCCCAGGGGATTCCTGTGCACGTTCCAGTGTGAGATGATCTGACTCTGACAGCCTCTCTGACCCTATATTTTACTACTCGTTCCTTTTCTTACTTGACATTCCCAGCCACCCTGACAGCATGGATATTCCTGTATGAGGGTGATTATAAGTGTGTGGTCCCTCAATCTGCAGCATCAGAACCCTTCAGGAAACTTGTTAGAAATGGGCTGTCTCCCCCCGACCCATCTTACTGAAGCAGAAACTCCATGGATAGGACTCATCAGTCCATGCTCCAAGCCCTCCAGGATGCTGATGCTCACATTTGAGGACCTCCTCAAGGACATCAAGGCTTTCCTGCCACAGGACTCTTTACCTGCTGTAGCCTGTGCCTCCAACACTCTTCCTTTATTTCCTCCCTCCATCGGATTTCTGCTGAAGGCCTCTTCAGGGAGGACTTTCTGATTACCCTTTGTAAAACAGCAACTCTCTCTCAAGTCATCACTCTTTTTCCTTGACCCTGTTTTATATATTTGTAAAAAATTAAAATTTTTTGTTTATTTGTTGAGCAAGTTCTCATTCTGTAGCCCAGGTTAGCCTGGAACTTGCTATACAGCCCAGGCTGGACTTGAACAACCAATCTTCCTGCCTCAGCCACACAAGTGCTGGGATTGCAGGTGTATGGTGGTATATGCATACACATATATATGTGTGTGTGTATATATTTTTTTAACATCTGCCTTACTCTACATTTATTTGCTTACTGATTTGTCTGCCCCCTCCCCTTTCTCAAGAACATCATCTCCTTAGTCAGGCATGTTGGCACACACCCAAAATCCTTGCACTGAAGAGGTTGAGGGGTTGTCTCAACCACTCCTCCCACCCAAAAAACACAAATAAAAAGAATGTCGTCCCTAAAAGACTTTATTCTATGCTCTGCTATTATCCCCAGCATCTAGAACAAATCCTGAGTCACACTTGGCAGCTAATCAGTACGTGTTCCATGAATCAACTGGACAGTGACTAGATTGAGGCTTGCTTTCACTGGATATGCACTGATTTAGAAAGCGTGCAAATTGCACTGGAAGATTCCAACCCCCGCCCCCCAAACCTACTGCATGCCAGGTACCAGGAGATACATCTTTTGCTCATGACATACCCTAGATAGAAGGATGGATGGACAAAGCACCTGTACTGAAAAACGATTCAAACCTGGCTCCTACTGATAATGAGACGTGGTATCGGTGCTGTTTGTTGTTGTTTCCTTGTACTGTTGTCATGTGAATAGGTCAGAATTGAGGAGGTTAAAAAATCTAGGAACTGTGTGCATAAAGAAGGGGACGAGGCAAGGACAGCTTTAGTCATTGACAGGTGAAACCATGAAGCCTCCTCACACCTAACACCTCCTTGGGGTCATTTGTGAGACTGAACATAGCTTTTAAAGTTTCACTGTATCAGAAATAAAATTAAAAATTTATAATGCAAAAAGCAATTTGATTGTGAGGGAGAGACCTTTTCATAATGTTCATTTATTTTGAATGCACATCTAGCTGCTGGCGTGGACTTCTTTGAAGGAGACATCCTTCTTCCGGTGAGTCCTGCCAATGACATTATAACGTGACTTGGGACTGGTTACACCATTGAGGGTGAAATTCTGCTCTGTGGCAAACCAGGGTGGACACTGTGAAGGAGAAGAAAGAATTCTAATCCATAGTCTGTGTCCACAAGGACTTCCACTGTAATTTAGTAGTGGCAAAAACAAACAAGCAAACATCATGAAAGAATCTATAATTATTAAATGATTTATCTATTCAATATTCCTAAAAAGCAAAGAATGAGAGGGAAAAAAACACCAATGTGTTTATAATAGTCATGTCAGTTTATGGGAATTGCAAGTCCTCTTTATTTTGTTCCTAATAATTTCTCTGAATTTCCCAAATAATCTCTAAGGCATTTCTATTGTTTTTATAATGTGAAGACAAATGCCATTAAATTGAATTGCTTGATACATTCTGTGTGGTGTGAGTTTAGTGAAGGAGGAGGTCAAGGTGACCTTGAGTGCTAGGCTTCCCAGTCATCTTTGCTTTTGTTTTCACAGAACTCCAGAAACGCCCTGAGAGACCCAACCACCAGGTGGCAGTTCCCCATTCCTTACATTCTGGCTGACAATCTAGGTAATAGCAATCATTCTTAATTAGGAGCTTCTGACTGAGCTGCTCTGTTCCCTTTCTCCTTTTCATGGGCTTTAGACTGAGTGTGACCACCAACGTGGTGAATAGTCCATTGCACTTGAAATTAATTTATATTCTGCAATTTGGGCGTAGATTATTCTATCAATGGTAAATAGGTCAGGGTGATTATCCATAATAGTGTTCAAATTATTTTCTACCTATTTTTATTTTAATTTTTTTATGGTTCTGGAATTGAACCAAGGGTCTCATCCATGTTAGGCAAGCACTTTGCCACTGAGATACATCTCTAGCCCTTTATTTTTGACTACTTGTTTTATAAATTACTGAGAAAAAGATGCTAAATCTTCAAGTATAAAAATTGCTTATGTTTTCCTTTATCATTTTCATGAAATTCTATTATTTTATGCAAACACATTCAAAATTGTTGTAGTATATCAACAAAATTGTCCCTTTCATCATTTAAAGTAGTTTTTTTTCTTTTCTTTTTTTTCTGGTAATCTTTGTCTAAAGTCTATTTTGTTTAATTTGTATACAGACAGGTCATTTCTAGAGTAACCATTTTAACTGAAGTGAGGTGATATCTCATTGTGGTTTTTATTTGCATTTCCTGATAGCTAATTATGCTGCATATTTTTAATAATTTGAACTTAATTATCTATTCATATTATTTGCCCATTTAAAAACTGGATTATTTTGGAGGGGTTGTTATTGAGTCTTTCTAGTTCATTATGTATTCTGGATGTATTTGTCATATGAATGGGTTGTCTTTTCACTCTGTTGATTGTTTTCTTTTCTTTGTGGTATAGAAGCTTCTTAGTTTGTTATAATCCCATTTGTCTATTTTTGCTTTTCTAGCCTTTGAATTTAGGATTTAGATCTTATCCAAAAAAAAAAAAAAAAAGAAAGAAAGAAAGAAAGAAAAATATCCTGATGCATTGAATTGTTTACTCTGTGTTTTCTTGTAGCAGTTTCATAGTTTCGGGTCTTACATTTTAGGAGTATGGTCCATTTTGGGTTGATTTTTGGATAAGGTGAGAGATAGGGGTTAAGTTTCAATTGTTTGCATGTGGATCTCCCCAACACCATTTACTAAAGAGGCTTTCCTTTCTCCAGTGCATTTTTTTTTTTTTTGGTGCACATTTTTGGTGCCCAGAAATAATCCCATGCATTTACAACCAACTGATTCTCCACAAAAGCACCATTTCTTTAATGATCTTGATCTGATTTTATGATATCTACACTGTGGAATCTCCAATGTGGTAGTTTATTAAATAAAATAGTCGCCAGACAACCATAACACAATTACCTGGCAAACTGCAAAGAACTATAAATTCTTTAAGAGAGTGTATAAAATCAAATGTGCAAAAAATGTGATTTAGTTTTATATCACTTGGTTTGATTTTTAGCTGAAATCGCAACCTTCAGTGAGTTGATGGGAGAAAAAAATGCACACAAAGTAAAACAGAATCTCAGTTCCTCTGGAGTTATCTTTCCTCCTGTCCCCATCCTTGTCCTACAGCGCCAAGGTGTGTGCCTGCTAGATGAAAGGAAAGGCCTCTGCTCTGTCATTGATCCTCACAGGTTACCCAATCACCTTTAGTGTTCCCACCCCTTCAGGTCTATTAGGCTTCTGCTGCTTTTGTACTGAACTTTGAGCAGAGAAATCTTTTCCAAAGCTGTGAATGAGCAGAGGTGGCTGTCTAGCCCTTCCACCTGCCTAGCAATCTCAAGGGAAGTAGGAGAGCATGCCTCATGTGCTTTTTATGCTTTCAGACCCTGTACACCTCTCTAAGCTAGAGGGCATGTCTTTTTAGTCTGTAGTAAGGAACATTATTTTCACTGCTTTTCTCTTCTTATCCATGAATATGAAAGACAGAGCTTTTGGAGGCCACTTCTCTTTTCTGCCATGAGAGAATGCAATGCCCTCAAAATCTCTGCTTCAGTGGGGAAAGGAAAGGAAAAATCCTGGAAGCTACTCTATGATTTTATTCAGCCACCTACCTGTACACGTATTCTTTTTTTTTTTCTTTTGGCTTAAGTTTTTTTTTTCTTTTATTATTCATATGTGCTTAGAAGGCTTGGGTCATTTCTCCCCCCTGCCCCCACCCCCCTCCCTTACCACTCACTCCGCCCCCTCCCTAACCCCACCCCCTCAATACCCAGCAGAAACTATTTTGCCCTTATTTCTAATTTTGTTGAAGAGAGAGTATAAGCAATAATAGAAAGGAACAAGGGTTTTTGCTGGTTGAGCTACACAGTCAACTCCTATACAGGGAGTTGACTCACATTAATTTCCTGTGCATGTGTGTTACCTTCTAGGTTAATTCTTTTTGATCTAACCTTTTCTCTAGTTCCTGGTCCCCTTTTCCTATTGGCCTCAGTTGCTTTAAGGTATCTGCTTTAGTTTCTCTGCGTTAAGGGCAGCAAATGCTAGCTAATTTTTTAGGTGTCTTACCTATCCTCACCCCTCCTTTGTGTGCTCTCGCTTTTATCATGTGCTCAAAGTCCAATCCCCTTGTTGTATTTGCCCTTGATCTAATGTCCACATATGAGGGAAAACATACGATTTTTGGTCTTTTGGGCCAGGCTAACCTCACTCAGAATGATGTTCTCCAATTCCATCCATTTACCAGCGAATGATAACATTTCGTTCTTCTTCATGGCTGCATAAAATTCCATTGTGTACACGTATTCTTAACCCATAGTCTCGCTTACATTGTGTGCTTAATGTATGTATATGATGTTTAGGTCCACGACTCATTTTTTGTTTTAGTTTCTTAGGTATCTATTTTCTACCAAAAAAACTATAATGAATCTCTGCAGATTTCATATAATCACATGTTTCTCTATAAACTATAAATTATGTCTATTACCCAAAGTCGAAACAATGCTTGCTGATGCTTTTACTGTTTTCTACAGCGCTGAATGCTAAAGGAGCCATTCTCTATGCCTTTGAAATGTTCCGCCTCAAGTCCTGTGTGGATTTCAAGCCCTATGAAGGAGAGAGCTCATATATCATATTTCAGCAATTTTCTGGGTTGGTATGAAATATTACAGAATCTGAAATGAATGTGAAAATTATGCACCCTTTGGTTTGCAAAGTGACACATCTGTTTTGGAAGCTAAATGAAAAATTGTAAGAAAGTAAAAGCAAAATCAAATCTTTCACTGTGAATTTCTTAATTCTGTAACATTTTTCATGTGCTAAATAGACAGTGAATTGTTTGGATATCTCTGGACCCTAGAGAAGTTTATCTCAATTCTTTCCCTAGGTATAGGTCATGTTTAAAATTGCATTATTTGGGGAGGTTTTTTTTTTTTTTGGTCAGGTTTACTGAAGTATAAATTATACCCCTTTAATGATACTGTTTTAAATTACAGTACTCTGTTGTCTGAACCTCTTTGAAAAATTCTACATGAAAATTTGCTCTTTATAGGTATTTATTTCTAAGAATAGATGAATGGTAGCTCAAGAAAGAAGTTCTCTTTCTTCAGTGGAGTCTTTGGCAACCAACTTGGGCTGGATGAGTTTGGGAAGCAAGACCATCACCAGCTGAGACACTGTCAAATTGTCTTCACGCCCTGCCTGCTGCCTTTCCTATCCAAACTATGTCCTCATAGATTGTCTAGTTCTGCCTTTGAGGTTTTTATTAATCTTGGAAGGATAGTAGAGATGAAAGAGAAGTTAATTTATTGTCTTAAGGAAAAAAGTGTATAAAATAGTAGCAAACAAAAAAATACAGATGACTACTTTGATACAAGCTAAATACCCAGCTTACTTGAAATAGTTATTTTCTTAGCTCATTCTTTTATTTAAGAAATGCACACCTACTATATGCCAAGAAGTATGCTAATTTGTAGGTACAAAGAAGTGTGAGAGGCAGTCTTAGAGCTCATAAGGTTTACAACTGGCAGATGGGCATGGTGGAGAAACAAGAGTTGTAACACAAGATGGTGTGACAGAGGCAGAACCTTCAACAGTGTGGGGTGAAGCTAAGCTGGGTGTCCAAACCAGAAATCTCAAGGACATCTTTGATTTCTTTCTTCATAATCAGATTAACTAATCTGATTAGGCCAGGTTCTGATAAGTCTACCTTTTTACAACCTTCTGGAATCCATTCCTTCTTTATTTCAACTTCCTCTTCCTTAGTATAGGGCCTTTTCATTTCTCTTCTGAAGAATTGGAGTGTCCTTTAATTAGTTTCCTGTCACATTTAAGTTAGGGGAGGAGAAAGGGGAAGAAGAAAGTATAGGGAAGAGACTGACACATAGTGCCCCAAACACTTCAAGATTTTGGTCCCCTGAGGCTGGAAGCCACCTGGTTTCTTTCAGAAAGACAAGGTGAAAGGCTCACAGTATGGCAGAATTTATGGATTTTGGGGGGGTGGCACAACTTGTACTTCTCTTCTGGTTGGGATGGGATATTGGAACTAAAAAAAGGCTAAATAATAAATGCTTCTGTTGGGTTGTGGATATTTTGCTGAGTAAATTCTGATTTAGTAATGAAATGCTACTGTCATAGAAGCAAGTTGACCATAGTTATGCTTGTCCAACTTGGTAAATTTATTAAAAATCACTAAAATAATCAATAAAATTGGTGAATTTTATGGCATTTAAGTCATTCCTCAATAAAGTCATCTGAAAAATAAATAAGAACCATTTTGAACAGAAGCCAAAGCCATTAGCATTTGAGAGTACATGATGCAAATAATCTTAGGGAACCAAAGCAGACCGGGTACTACTTCTGTCACTAAGGATGAACATGCCATGCATTGGTGGCACTGAAAACTCTTGGACAGTGCCTTATCTTGCTAAGCATTATATAAAATATAGGCCCTGTTTTAGTTTCAAGCCAATAAGGAGACAATTTGTGGAATGTTTTTACTTACTAACAGAGGGGAGAGATTGGATTTATGAGAAAAGATAAAAATAATTATAAAAAAGGAGGCAAGAGGCTCCACCATGAGGAACATAGAGACTCTGCCAGGAGTTCCCAAGTCCACTGGCTTCTGAGGGAAGTTTTGGGTGTTACTCACCGGGGCTTTTCAGAAATAAGCTAGTCAGCTTCTCTGTGTCATGACAGTACAGGATATCTGCCTACATCCAAAGGCATGGACTTTATTAACTTGCTTTTAATAAAGTCCTTTCATAATCATAAAATTTGCTCTGGTTCATTATAGGGAATTTGGACACTTATTAAAGTATGAGAAAGAAAAATTAACCAGTGCTATTACTGAGAGACTACTTAATATTTTGGACTAAAGGCTTATTTTCTTTGGAATGCCGATAGGCTTATGGAAGTGAGGAAGAACATAAAATTTTATTTCTTTCCATCTTGATGAATATGAAGATCAACTAAATTTTGTTCTTAATTGATACCTAATAATTGTACATGTTTATGGGTTCAGTGTCATGTTTCCATACGTGTGTATTTTGTGTAATAAATTAGTCAACAAAACCATTAGACAGGAGGAATAAGTTCTCCTGTTTTATTGCACAGTAAGGTGACTACAGTTAATGATACTGTATTAAATATTTCCAAATAGCTAGAAGAGAACATTTTTAATGTTTTCACGCTAAAGAAACTTTTTTTTTTTAAATCAAACCTACCTTTATTCTAACTTGTGTTCTGGATCCCAATGAGTTATGGCTATGTAAGAAATCTTTAGAAAGTCCACGCACAGTGGCTAATGCTTGTAATCTTTGCTACTGGGAAGGTGGAGATCAAGAGTATTCCATCCTGGCAGAAAGTTAGTGAGACCCCACCTCAACAAATAAGCTAGTTTTGGTGGCACATGCCTGTCATCCCAGTAACATAGGAACCATAAATAGGAGGATCAGGCAGGCCAGTCAGCATAAAAGTTAAATCTTATTCAGAAAATAGCTAAAGCAAAAGGGCTTGGAGCATGGCTTAAGTGGTAGAGTACCAGCCTGGCAATCACAAGGCCCTGAGTTCAAAGCCAAGTATTACTCCTCTCCCCGCCCCCACAGGGAAAAAAGAATTTTCTAGGAAAATCTTTTCCTTTCCTCTTCTTTAAAGGTGCTGGTCTTGGGTTGGTGACCAACATATGGGACAGAACCTCTCCATTGGTTTGGGGTGTGACTATAAGGCCATCATCGAACACGAGATCTTGCATGCTTTGGGATTTTACCATGAGCAGTCAAGGAGCGACCGGGATGATTATGTCAACATCTGGTGGGATGAAATTATTTCAGGTGTGTATGAACCCAGCGCAGATGAATGGAGATTCTGCTGTCTCCATGGCTTGTTGAGAACAACTCTGGGGTGCTCAGAATGACTGTGTGAGGACTGAGGCTCAGACTCTCTCACGGGAGCATGGATTGTGAAGAAGTTGCAACTTGCTGACCTCTCCCTTGACTAGGCCAATGTGACCATAACTAACCCCAGAAAAAGGGTCCCAGTGAATGGTTTCTGTTTTATTAGTTTAAGTTTCATCTTGGCTTCTAGATAATGTTCTGTTTTCATTTTTTATTGTTGTACTGGGGTTTTATTGTGGTATTTACAAAAGTTCGTGATGATGTATCAGATATATCATATTTGAATTCACCCTTCCATCATTTTCCTTTATCTCCCCTTCCACCATTCATGGAATAGCTTCAATGGGTCTCATTTTTCCCTTTACATATGTGTACACAGTATTTGCACCACATTCAACCTCCCACACCTTTTTGGTTAATCAAATTTAATGGTCTTTTCTTTGACTTTTCTATGCCTCTCTTCTTTTCTGCCCCACACCATACTATACAAAAGACAACACAGTTTTATCTCACATATTGTGCAGTTGTGTTATTCTAACAATTTCAATGTCCTGTAGCTTTGTTAGACTTCCTTGAATGCTTCCTTCCTTAATTTTTGAGACAACTAAGGTGCTTTTGAATATTCTAAGACATTATTTGTTGAGCAGTTTCCAGATGTTATTTAAAAAAAAACCCAAGTCAATGTCAATGCTGTTTCTAAAGATAACTACTATTTTAAAAATGAATTAATTCAGGGAGTATAAAAGTATTATTTTGGCAATAATTCAATAATAAAACCTTAGTGTGGTAGAAATGCCTTAACTATTACCATACCTGGTTGTCATAGCAAATAATTGCCTTGTGTAGGTAGCAATTTTTTTTTGAGACAGGATCTGCTATGTAGCCCAAACTGGCCTGGAACTAGCTGTGGAGCCCAGGCTAGCCTCAAACCCTTCATCCTCCTGCCTCAGCCTCCCAAATGTTTGATTATAGGCGTGCACCACCACACCTGGTGGAATCCATTTTACTTAGATCAATTTCATATGTGGCTCGTGTTGCAAGGTATGTATGATAATTTTACACTTACGGCCTTGGAAGAATTGGCCAAGCTTTAAAATTAATATGAGTCCAGTAAAGATTTCTCCAGTACTAGCTTGTTTTGGAGCAAGGTAGTCAAAGGTCCCCACATGAGGTAGAGTAGAGATGGATAATTGTATCAAATTCCTTGTGGGTTTTCTCTGCCTGTGTCCCTCTCAGCCCCTCATATTCTGATAATTCTATGAATGTGGAGTGGTGGAATTTGTAAAAGCCTAAGAGGTCAACAGTATAGAATCTACACACATACTCCAACCCATCCCACCACCTAACCATTGAGCAAGAAGCCAACTAGTGTTCTTTGCCTCCCTGTCTAGTATAGAAAAGTTTTTGACCATATTTGCCCAGAGATGAAAGATACAGATGAAACTTAATATATTTGTCTCCCAGCGGTAAGTGTGGGTGACTGGGTGTGCTGGGCGTGTAAAGCGGGGAAGGAATGGAGTCAGAGGTCAAAGAACTAAATCTCTGATAATGAACCTCAGAGCACTGTAGACTTTGTATTTGCCTAGTCCTGACTTTCTTACCTTCCTGTACATACAGTTGGCTTCGCTGAAAATTCCACAAGAAATTAAAAGATGTTCCCATTTCTAAGTCTAGAAGAAAACAATGATTAGAGCTTTTAGAATGGTTTTAGGCCAAAGAAGATCCTCCTAAAAAGAATGAGGCAAAAGATTTGCTGATGTAATTCGTGAATTCGCTCAGCTCTGGTTGAACATGGATTGCTCAGCACATACTTGCTTATCACCCATTTATCTTTTCATCAGTTAAAATTCCACCTATCTAAATTGCTTGCAATCACTGGAGTACTGTTCTCAAATGAGATCTCAGATCCAGTAAGATGATAAGAAGAGCAGTATTATTTCTCGGGGTAATTCATGACTTTTATTGTATGTCGTATTCAATCGGGCAATCTTACTGTTTGTCCTGACTGTACTAGCAACACAGTTTCTCTACCCAAGTCCATCCTTATTTCCTGAGTCAGAATTGGGTTTGTTTTCTTCCACTAAGGGAAAAACCTCAACTTCTGAGGTCTAGCAGAGCTTGGTACCATATCCACTTGCTTTTGTAAATAAACCTTTATGGAAACAACCACACTCACTGGTTTATGTATTGTCTGTCACTGCTTTTGAGCTACAGTGGCAGAGCTAAGTAGTAGACAGAAAATGTGGTTTTCAAAGTCCCAAATATTTTCTGACTGAAAAAAAGAAAAAAGTATAGAAAAAGGTTGTCAACTGATTTGTGGTTTATAGGATCACTGTCTTCAAGGCTCTTAGCAGTGAGTTCCCTGGAGGCAGAACTATGTCAGGGGCCGCTACCCTTCTAGAAAAACTCCTGGAAGGTGGTAGGTACAATATAAATATGCCGAATAAATTTTAAAAATTATCACTGGGATGTGTCTGAAGTGATAGAGCACCTGCCTACAAAGCATGAGGCTCTGAGTTCAAACCCCAGTGTCATAAAAAAAAAAAATCAGGGCCAGGCACTGGTGGCTCAAATCTGTAATCCTAGCTACTCAGGAGGCAGAGATCAGGAGGATTGTGGTTTGAGACCCTATCTCAAAAATTTTTTTAATCCAGATTATTTATTTGTAAAATATTCTGGTAAGAACCCTAGAATGACAATCTATTCTAACCTGACAATTTTATGGGAAGTTAAAGAAAAGACCCAGTGAGTTGAAAGTGACTTGCTTCAGGAACCACTTGGAGTCATCAGGACATCCTGGGCTCAGGCTTGAAGAGCACCTGGTGCTCTTTCTGTTCTATTACCTCAAATGATTCATAGGACCAAGTGCTCTGCAAGGAGTTACTTTCCCCATTTCCTGTTTGGGTTGTTTTGTTTCTTTTAGTCCTGTCCCAACTTTGAAAATGTTTTGACCCTCTCAAGTAATTGCCCCCCAAATCCCTGTGCATTGGGATAATGAAACAATATTCTGATTTTAAATTTAAAAATGAGGTCTTGCTTTCACAGGTTCATTGGCTTCTCTAAAAGCATTTGACACTGCCGGGTTGCACCACACTTATTCAGTCCTATATGTTCTTGTGTGTGATGTTTTTGAAAGGCAGTTATGTTTTCTTCTCTATATGTATTAAAAACAGCTGGATGGGGAGCTAGAGAAGAACATGAGGATGCAAAGTTATAATTGGAGGAGCTATGAGCAGTCTCATTTGGTTTTGTTATCACTTCCCGAGAAGAAAATTAAAAATCTGCAAACCTTTCCCATTAAGGCAGCTGGAACAATAAATTCCTGATGGTTGGTCAATTAAAGGACATTGGATGAGTTATTAGTTCAGTGTTTTACATTGTAGCACATCTTGTCTCATCCCTCAGAAAAATATTTACATTTCCTATTTTGATAGGAAAATAAAATTACTTTCTTCCTATTTTATTTTTCTCTCCATAAGGCAATTTCTGGATTAAATCCTCTTTTTTGCAGCTACTTACTTTTTCTCTGACCCTCAGACTTCTTTTTACTAAGCTACAAAATGCTGTCCAGATACAGCCATTGGCAGACCTGGTTGGTACTTGGCTATTAGGAAGCTGTATCTTGAATATTTTCCTAAATTCAAAAATTCTTTTACACATGTATGAAATTAGAACTATGAAACCTGTTGAATTTGTTCCAAGAAGGAGGGAGAAAGGATAAGGGGGAGTGATGGTGTGGACAGGTTCAGTTGGAGTACATTGTACACATATATGGGAAATCACAGTGAAACCCCTTTGTACAACAAATATATGATAGTAAAAATTCCTTTTCCTTCCATTTAGAATAATTGTCTCAGATTTGCTATTTTACCTTCTCTTTCTGAAAGTCATATATATACACATATATTCCCCCATATATGCATATACATATTTATAATGTATTTTGACTTAAATGCATACATACATAGTTAATACTTCATAATATGTAAGTATGTATTTTATATATTATAGCAGTTTTTTCTGATAATTCCAATAATTTCACAATATTATATAGCACATTAATCTATTAATTTATTAGTATTAATAGTAACACATATTCATCTTACATATTATGCTAATTATAGAATACGTGTGGTTTTTTTGAAACAGGGTCTTGCTATGTTACCCAGTCTGGCCTTGAATTCATGTTCCTCCTACCTCATCTTCTCAAGTGCTAGGATTACAGGCATGTACCAGCATGCCTTGCTCATAAAGTATGCATATATATGTATTTAAATCAGAGATGCATTGTTTCCCTTTTTAGGGGATCTTTAAGTATCTATGTAAAGACAAGGTTGAAGGGAGCAATGTGACTGAGCAGGACTTGTGTTTTCTCTCCTTAACAGGTTACAAGCACAACTTCGATACCTATGATGACAGTTTCATCACTGATCTCAACACACCTTATGATTATGAGTCTCTGATGCACTATGCGCCTTTTTCATTTAACAAGAATCAAAGTTCCCCTACCATCACAGCCAAGATCCCTGAGTTCGGTTCCATTATTGGGCAGCGCCTAGATTTCAGTGCCATTGATTTAGAGAGACTGAACCGGATGTACAATTGCAGTGAGTAGCTCCCTGCCTGGGGACAGCCTTTGTCTCCTTAATATTTTCCTTTATTTCTCTTGAATGTTCTGGTTCAGGGAACCAAACATTGCTTAACTACACAACCTAAGGTATTCTATCTCTAAACTATGAAAAAAATCATAGCACCTAACTCACAGGATTGTTTTGAAAATCAATTATGTAGTTGTGTTTTGAAAAGTAAAAGTATTAGACTAATGTCATCTAACTTCTTTAGGTTCCTTTTCAAGGGAACATGGTTATGTGAAGGTCCAGATAGGCAATGGCTTGAAAGTGTTGTATCCTAAAAAATTCTCTGCCCAAGTCACTCAACTTACCTAGAGTACCCTAAGACTTTGGGATGCGGTATTATTTTTTTTAAAGATGAACCCACTAGTCTTCAGAGACAGTCTTTAGCTCTGTTCCATAGGTATGTATAGGGGACCAAGTACAAAGCTCAGTATGGATAGGTAGTGTGCTCTTGACCTAAAAGAGTTAATGGTCGGCCTTCACAGAGTAAAGAAAGATTGTAGGTCTATTTTCTTGACTCTGTGTGATAGGTAGGTCTGTACCCATGTTCCAAGACCTAACTGATGACAGTAGGATTTGGATTTTGAGAAAAAGTCAAGAAAGTGAATGACTCATCCTCTTGGTGTTTGAACAGTGAGGTTTTGGTGGCATTAGATATTAACTATTTGGAGTGAAATGCTTTATATTTTTAAACCACATGATAAAAACTGTCATTTGCAGCCTCAACACACACCCTTTTGGACTATTGTGCTTTTGAGAAGACAGACATCTGTGGGATGATTCAGGGCACCAGAGATGATGCTGACTGGGTCCATAAGGACAGTGGTCAGGCTGGACAAGTGGATCACACGTTGGTGGGACAATGCACAGGTGGGTGATGGCACAAAGTGAATACACTGAGGCAGTTCAGTTATAATGGGAACACTCATGTTTTGCCCCAATCATAATAGTTATCAAAACTGAAAATTGAAACAAGGACAATGAATATTTCTCTTATCTTAATTATTAACTCAATAAAGATGTACTTTAGCATGACAAAATGAATATGAATAGATGGTTGATAAGACATGATTTTGTAAGTAAGGCTAATGTCTCCAGGTCAGAAATCTCCAACAGAAATATAATTCTAGTCACATATGTAATGTAACCTTTTCTAACAGCCTCATAAAAGGCTAAAAGGAAATAGGTAAAATTAATAATATATTTATTTAACCAAATGTCTCAAAAATATTAGCATTTCTACACATAATCAATATGAAAATTATAATGAGATACTTTGCTCTTATTTGAGCATCTAAAATGGCACATATATTTTATACTTCCAACATAGCTCAGCTAGGACTGGCCACAACTCAAGCACACAGTAGTCATGTATATTTAGGAGATACCACATTAGTAGAACAGCTTCAGCTAGTTCCTAAATATGTATGGGTTGTGTAGTGAAAAAGCCATTAAATCAGACAGACCTGGGTTTGAAATCTGACTCTGTCACTTACTAACTGTGACCACAGGAAGTTGTTGTCATGTGTGCTTTTAAAAAAAAATCTTTACATTTGTAGGCTCTGTGAATGTCATGATACTAATACCTGGCAGAGGGATGGGAGAAGATAATGCATACAAAGTCCCTAGCTGAGACCGGCAGCTTCACTTCCTAATTTTTTTCCCCATCTTCCTAGTGCCTCCAGAAGTTCTATTAATCTTTTATTTCTATTTTAGTATCATTTTATTTTATGCTGGTCACAGAAATCATCTCCAGCCTCTTTGGAAGCAAGTGGGATTATAAATTATAGCAGCTCTTAAAGACTGGAGTATTGTGAAATCACTTAGACCATGCTTTCTGAGATTTGGTTGCATATCCTTTCCAGAACTGACCCAGTGTATCAGTGTATCTCTGATTGCCAGGCAATCAGGGAGAATGTCAGCGGTCATGTCACTGCACTTTTCCTCCAGCCTTGGCTCAGGGTGAAAGTCTGTCTCACAGCAGGTTGTCTGACATTGCCCCCTAGTGTCTGAGGGTGATCAAGCCTGAAGTCTTCTAAATTGCACTGTTAGCCTCTACTTCAACTTCCCCATGGGCTTGCTGTTCGGCTGGCATACCACTTCCAATTAGAAAGTAAGTTTTCATTAGAAAAGTGAGTTGGTTTTCAAAATGCCATGTTTATTTGGTGACCTGCTTCTTTTTAAGGAAGAGTTATGAAGTGCCTGAGTTAGACGAACCTCAAGCTATAGCACTAATTCAGACTTTGTGCAGTCTTTTTTCAGAATTCTTGCAAAACGTTCCTTACATTCAGGTGAAATATTTAATTAGTACCTAATATGGGACTAATCATGGAGTAAGGATGATCTTTTTGTTTAAATTTAAACACTTTATTCTTATTATTATACAAAATAATGGGGTTCGCTATGACATTTTCATACATGTACATAATATACTTTGATCATGTTCTTCCCATAATACTTGCTTGTCCCCTCTTTCTCTCTCTCCCACTGGTTCCCTTTCTCTTCCCAAGCAGCCCCTCTTCTTCTGCTATGTCTGTTGGTAGATTCTTGACCACCAATAATAACCCAATCATTAGGATAAGAGTGGAAACTTACACCCTTATTACTGTGAATATGTATTGTCCAAGTCCTAAACATGTATAGTTGGGTTTTGTTGTTGTTTATTTTGGTTTGGTTTGGTGGAACTGGTGTTTGACTTCAGGGTTTTGTGCTTGCTAGCCAGACATTCTACTGCTTGAGCTATGCCTTCAGCACTTTTTACTCTGGTTATTTTAGAGATAGGGTCTTGTTTTTTGCCCAGACCAGTCTGGACTGATATCTTCCTATTTTATGCTTCCCACCATTGCCCAGATGACAGGTGCACACCACTGTACCCAGCTATTGGTTAAGATACAGTCTTGCTAATTTTCTGCCTGAACTATGATCTTCTGGATCTCAGACTTCCCAAAAGCTAGGATTATAGGCTTACATGGGTAATCCACTGACACACAGCCCTGTGCAGTTTTTATTGGTATATATTAATTACATCCAATAATAGGTTTCATTATGACATCTTCATACATGTGTGTAATATACTTTGATAATATTCAACTCTGTACTCTTTCTTGTCTATTTCCCTCCTCCCACTGGTCCCCTTCCCCTTACCAAATAGCCCCTTTCTGCTTTATGTCTTTTTGTTGTTTTTTGGGGATTTTTTGGCGGCACTGGGGTTTGAACTCAGGGCTTCCCACTTGCTAGGCAGGCGCTCTACCACTTGAGCCACTCCCAAGCCATATTTTATGTCTTTTTAAAAATCTAGGTTCTGCATATGAGGAAAAAAAAACATGAAACATTTGTTTTTATGAGTCTGGATTTTTTTGCTTAACATCATGATCTCCAGTTTCATCCATTTCCTGCAAATTACATAAATTCTTTATTCTTTTTGGCTAAACAATAGTCCATTGTATCTATAGAACACATTTTCTTTATCCATTCATCTGTTGATGGGCACCTAGATGGTTCTATAACTTGACCATTGTGAATAGTGCTGTGATAAAAATGGAGGTGCAGCTATCTCTACTGCATGCTGACTCTGACTTTTTTTTAGTATATACACAGAAGTGGTATATACTACCACTCGTATAGAAGTACTACGGTACTTCTATTTTTAGTTTCTTAAAGCCCTCCATTCCCACCAGTGATTCATAAACAGGTTCCTCTCCCATTCCATCCTCAGCAGCATTTCTTCTTTTTGCCTTCTTGGTGGTTGCCATTCTGACAAAGGGAGAGATGGAATCTCAATGTCATTTTGATTTTGGTATAATTTCTTATACAACCAGGACACCGACTCTCCTCTGTGAAATGTATCTCCAATTTAAACAATGATGTCAGTGAAGAAAACAGAATTTGTCTCACAGATACTAAATTCCATCAAACTTTGGTTGCACTCTGTGTTTCTTTAAGTGAGAGTTCACAGACCAGGCAACAAAGACAATCAAAAGGGGCATGAAAGTTGAGACGCCTGTAATCTAGTACTCAGGAAGCTGAGGCAGGAAGATCATGAGTTTGAGGCCAACCTGGGCTACCTAGTGAGAACCTCATCTCAAAAACAAACAACCTCCACTCACCCCTCTACCAAAAAAAAGGCAAAACCCAAACCAAAACAACAATAACAAACCCCGGAAAGGTAGTGCGGGGCAGTGGCTGTTCATTGACACAGCATATTTACTGACAAATGACCTTTCTATGTTCCTCAAAGAATTCTAGCTTTCAGTGCCTGGATAAGGCTATCATTCCATATTTCAGCTTGCCTGGGTGGATAGCACCCGCATTGTGAAGATCAGAGCCAGAATGTTGGACTTCTCTCTCCACAGGTGCGGGCTACTTCATGCATTTCAACACCAACTCAGGGGCGGCAGGAGAGGCAGCCCTACTGGAGTCTCGAATTCTTTACCCAAAGAGGACACAGCAGTGCCTGCAGTTTTTCTATAAGATGACAGGAAATCCTTCAGATAGACTCACGGTCTGGGTCAGAAGGGATGACAGCACAGGCAATGTGCGCAAACTGGTCAAGATGGAAACCTTTCAAGGTACTTAGAGGTGTTTGCACAAGGGCTACCCTTCCTTCCTCTTCTCTTCCTTTTTAACCTTTCCACCCTTCTCTTCCTCCCACTCTTTGTCCTCTCCTTCTTTTCCTTCACTCCCTTCATCTTCTTCTATGAACCTAACATAATGTCTGACAAGTTTTACCAGCATGCTTTAAGCACTCCAAATTAGGAGCATTGAGAGTTTAGGTGAGGCTTAAATGTACTCTTATAAGAGGCCAATCAGAAGATATAAATCCAATTTTCACTGGCTCTTTGGAGAAAGTCAGGACCAAGAGGGGTAAGAGAAGATTCCTAGGTGGATATTAGAAGGTAGAAAGTTGGAGGGATTGATGCTGCTGAAGAGAGAGAACCATAAGCTCTTCTGCATCATTTCCAGAATACTGAATATCATTATTTAATATGCTGAAGAACTTGAAGTCTATTTGTGAAGCTGGTGGGAACATAAGCCATTTGTATCAACTTCTCTATAATCATTGGCACATTGCCAAGTGTTGCTTTGTGTATTTCTCTGTATTTCAGATGAAAACCTTAAATTGCTAAGGTATAGGCAGCATGATGTAAGGACCATCTGGTTCTAAATTAGATCCAGGGTTGCAAGCTCAATGTGTATATTTTTTGATGTGCCAGTGGTTCACTCATAACTAGGAAAAAAGATCAGCTTTCTTATTTTTCCCACTCAATAAAATATTTCTCGATTAAAATGGTCCAGAGAAAAGAAATATTTTCATTACTGTAGAAGAGGCCGCTGCTCTTCATGAGCAGAAACTTCCTTAGAGGTCCCCAAATCACCTCTATCCATACCACACTGCCTGGGACCCTACAAGAAATGGTTTGAGGAGTTCATTTTTCTGGTTGGAGTTTATCGTAGTTGGTATGATAGGAAGATGACAGCTAGATGTCCTATAAGAGCTGAGAATCTTGTTATGTTGCCAGAGACTCTAAATAATTTAATGAAAAAATGTTACAATCTTAATGCTATTGAAGGGATCTATTATTACTCACTTTCATCTCACACTGAAAATGTTATCCTCAGAAGTGTAAAATCAACCAATCATCCCATGTTTAATTTAGTTCCCCTCACTGCTGTGCTTTGAGTTCCACTGAATTCACGGGGTGTCTTTGTACGTTTCCTGGAAACACCATATGTTTGGATTTTTAAAGTAGTCCATTCTGATAATGGCTTACCAATGTAACTTTTCTAAAAGTTGAATATTACTTGATGCTTAATAGGGTGTTGAACAAAAGATAGTTAAAATAATCTTTGAATAGCTTTTAACTTTTGTGAAATGTGTTTTTAACCAAAATGCTTCCATAGAAAATTGTGCCTGTATGCATACTTATATATACATAACATAATATATAAATGAAGATATAACATATAATGCTTGTGCACAAATTTACATGCAAAATGCTCCCATACAAATTTGTGTATACATACACGCATACACACACACACATACACACACACACACACACACACATACACACACACACACACACATACACACACACACACAAACACACCCTTTATGTTTTTTCTGAGGCCAGGACCCCCATATTGATGACAATTTTGAATTAACAATAATGAAATTTACCTTAAACAATCTTGTTATCATTATTACTGACTGATTCAGGGATGCCCTCTGGAGACACTTAGATGAAATCTAAGGATCAATTTCATTGATGAGTCCCTGCCCATATGGTAGTCTGTCAGGTCTTTTTCCTACTACCATATTCCCACATTTCAATCTCATTATCAAAACACATATTAAGAAAAACTGAAGTTACTCATTAATGAGAAAAGAATTTTTATGTTTTGTCAGAATTCCTATGATCTATAACCCTCTGGGTAAATAGTTCAAATCTATGTCTCTGACCCTTTTTCAACCTTTCTGTCACTCATTACACTTCCAGCCCATGTGTCCTCCATGTGCTGTCCCCAGGAGATGGCAGTCACATAGACTTGTATTTTACTGATGTGTTCCATGTACCTCACCACCGTCTTTTACGAATCCATGCAACCTAACCACACAGGCCATAACCAACTCCACTCCAGATAACTGGACAACCCAGCTAGTTGTTCTTAGAATGACCTGAGAACACAGGGAGATGAAGTGGCTCTTCTGTTTTGGAAAAGTATAAGCAAATTTCTATTTAAAAAACATGGAAAGAGGAAAAAGAGACACTTTCAAGACCCTCTTCTTAATTTTATTTCAGATTATATTTCTTTGAATATCTTTGGGGAACTCTGAGTTGCGATGGTCTAGTAAATTTCCTTTCCCAGGATGGACAAGGCTGCTGTCTGGATTCTTAGAGCCCAGCATTCCAGTTCTGGAGTAGCCCCTCACACTCTCACTTCAGATCTTTATTCAAAATTCCCACTTCCAGTTCAGTATCGGGGAAAAAAAAGAGCAAGCAGACCTAATCCACACTAGAATGTGGACATCTGTATAATGGAAACTCTTTGGATTACTGGATCTTTGCCTTGCTGGAATTCTAGATAATAAAGAAGAGAAAAAAATCCAGACAATCAGATTTTGGCAAAAAAAAAATCCAAGATTGGAATGTATGGAATTGACATTATCTGACTTTTGGTTTTTGAAATATCCATTTTATATGGCTCAGCTAAATGCTTGGGCATTTTGGTCTAACACCAAGGGGGTAGGATGTAGTTGTACCAACAGACTCTGTAAGAAATGTAGAACCTGTGAAACTGAATGATAGTGGACAACAAATACATGATTAAAATTTGGATATGAATTTTCAAATAAATCATAGATGTCTTTTTTAAACTTGCTATGCAGGTGACTTGTCAAAAGTTTCTTAACCTGTCTATATAGTACCAATTTTATATTGTTGTGAGAATTGAGCGAGATAATTTATGTAAAGTGCTCAGCACAGTGTAAGATTCATAGTAAGTGCTCACTAAATATTGACCACATTCTTTACCTTCCTTATTCTTTGTCCTCAGGAGATTCTGACCATAATTGGAAAATTGCCCATGTGACACTCAAAGAAGAAAAGAAATTTCGCTATCTTTTCCAGGGCACAAAAGGTGACCCTCAGAACTCAGCTGGGGGAATTCATCTGGATGACATCACTCTGACAGAAACCCCCTGCCCTGCAGGGGTTTGGACAATACGGAACATCTCCCAGGTCCTTCAGAACACCATTCAAGGGGATAAGCTCATGAGCCCTCGATTCTATAATTCAGAGGGCTATGGTTTTGGGGTCACTTTATACCCCCATGGAAGAATAACCTCCAGTAACTCTGACTACTTGGGGCTTGCTTTTCACCTGTGCAGTGGAGAGAATGATGCCATCTTGGAATGGCCAGTGGAGAACAGACAGGCAGTAATGACAATACTTGACCAAGAAACTGATGCCAAGAACAGGATGTCTTTAAGCTTGATGTTTACTACTTCCCAGGCCCATACATCTTCAGGTAAGTGGTTCTCATTATCTCTGGGTTCTCTACATTTCTGGGTAAGTGGTTTGAGCATAAACAAGAACTGCCCCTCAACCTGGACAGTCCATAAGTGTAAAATTGCCCATTAATGGCTCACAGGGGATTCTCATCTGTACACAAAAGAACATTCCTCTCATATTTACCCCCCTTGCTATATTAACAACATGGTGATGGTGGAGTATTAAATTAAAAGTTCCAATGTCACTTTTACCTCCTTCTCTTTCCTAAATCACCTCATCAAGCATCTATTGAGGCTCTGTCATGTGCCAACCTCTGTGCTAGGGACTTAGAATATAAGTGCTTGTGTGGTTTCCACCTCGTTGAGCTTAGTTTGAGTGAGAGGGCAGATACAGCTAATCACTCATCAGACACTCAGAATTTGCTGAACTTGACAAAGCTGACAGACTGAAGGTCAGCCTGTCCACAAAATAAACTTACATCAATTAAAATGGGAAAACTATTTTTTTCAAAAGAAAACTCTTAAGCCTTAAAAAGAAGCAGTTCTGTTTTCTCCTTCTTCCCTCATTAAGGAAGTCACTCAGGAATACACAACCAACCATCCAGAGCTGTGGTTCTCTGCCTTTCTTACCTCCTAATTCCGAATTTTAATTTTTCTGAAAAGAGTAAATAACCTGACTTTTTTTTTATTGTTTTGTTATTTATATGTGCATACAAGGCTTGGTTCATTTCTCCCCCTGCCCCCACCCCCTCCCTTACCACCCACTCCCCCCCCCTCTCCCCCCTACCCCTCATACCCAGCAGAAACTATTTTGCCCTTATCTCTAATTTTGTTGAAGAGAAGTATAAGCAATAATAGGAAGGAACAAGGGTTTTTGCTGGTTGAGATAAGGATAGCTATACAGGGAGTTGACTCACATTGATTTCCTGTGTGTGTGTTACCTTCTAGGTTAATTCTTTTTGATCTAACCTTTTCTCTAGTTCCTGGTCCCCTTTTCCTATTGGCCTCAGTTGCTTTAAGGTATCTGCTTTAGTTTCTCTGCGTTAAGGGCAACAAATGCTAGCTAGTTTTTTAGGTGTCTTACCTATCCTCACCCCTCCTTGTGTGCTCTCGCTTTTATCATGTGCTCAAAGTCCAATCCCCTTGTTGTGTTTGCCCTTGATCTAATGTCCACATATGAGGGAGAACATACGATTTTTGGTCTTTTGGGCCAGGCTAACCTCACTCAGAATGATGTTCTCCAATTCCATCCATTTACCAGCGAATGATAACATTTTCTTCTTCATGGCTGCATAAAATTCCATTGTGTATAGATACCACATTTTCTTAATCCATTCGTCAGTAGTGGGGCATCTTGGCTGTTTCCATAACTTGGCTATTGTGAATAGTGCCGCAATAAACATGGTGTGCAGGTGCCTCTGGAGTAACCTGTGTCACAGTCTTTTGGGTATATCCCCAAGAGTGGTATTGCTGGATCAAATGGTAGATCAATGTTTAGCTTTTTAAGTAGCCTCCAAATTTTTTCCAGAGTGGTTGTACTAGTTTACATTCCCACCAACAGTGTAAGAGGGTTCCTTTTTCCCCATCCTCGCCCACCTGTTGGTGGTGTTGCTAATGATGGCTATTCTAACAGGGGTGAGGTGGAATCTTAGTGTGGTTTTAATTTGCATTTCCTTTATTGCTAGAGATGGTGAGCATTTTTTCATGTGTTTTTGGCCATTTGATTTTCTTCTTTTGAGAAATTTCTGTTTAGTTCACTTGCCCATTTCTTTATTGGTTCATTAGTTTTGGGAGAATTTAGTTTTTTAAGTTCCCTGTATATTCTGGTTATCAGTCCTTTGTCTGATGTGTAGCTGGCAAATATTTTCTCCCACTCTGTGGGTGTTCTCTTCAGTTTAGAGACCATTTCTTTTGATGAACACAAGCCTTTTAGTTTTATGAGGTCCCATTTATCTATGCTATCTCTTAGTTGCTGTGCTGCTGGGGTTTCATTGAGAAAGTTCTTACCTATACCTACTAACCAGAGTATTTCCTACTCTTTCCTGTATCAACTTTAGAGTGTGGGATCTGATATTAAGATCCTTGATCCATTTTGAATTAATATTGGTATAGGTGATATACATGGATCTAGTTTCAGTTTTTACAGACTGCTAACCAGTTTTCCCAGCAGATTTTGTTGAAGAGGCTGCTATTTCTCCATCGTATATTTTTAGCTCCTTTGTCAAAGACAAGTTGGTTATAGTTGTGTGGCTTCATATCTGGGTCCTCTATTCTGTTCCACTGGTCTTCATGTCTGTTTTTGTGCCAGTACCATGCTGTTTTTATTGTTATTGCTTTGTAATATAGTTTGAAGTCGGTATTGTGATACCTCCTGCATTGTTCTTTTGACTGAGTATTGCCTTGGCTATTCGTGGCCTCTTGTGTTTCCATATAAATTTAAGTAGATTTTTCAATCTCTTTAATGAATGTCATTGGAATTTTGATGGGAATTGCATTAAACATGTAGATTACTTTTGGGAGTAGACATTTTTACTATGTTGATTCTACCAATCCATGAGCATGGGAGATCTCTCCACTTTCTATAGTCTTCCTCAATCTCTTTCTTCAGAAGTGTATAGTTTTCCTTGTAGAGGTCTTTCACATCTTTTGTTAGGTTTACACCTAGGTATTTGATTTTTTTGAGGCTATTGTAAATGGAATTGTTTTCATACATTCTTTTTCAGTTTGCTCATTATTAGTGTATAGAAATGCTAATGATTTTTCTATGTTGATTTTATATCCTGCTACCTTGCTATAGCTATTGATGATGTCTAGAAGCTTCTGAGTAGAGTTTTTTGGGTCTTTAAGGTATAGGATCATGTCGTCTGCAAATAGGGATATTTTGACAGTTTCTTTACCTATTTGTATTCCTTTTATTCCTTCTTCTTGCCTAATTGCTCTGGCTAGGAATTCCAGTACTATGTTGAATAGGAGTGGAGATAGTGGGCATCCTTGTCTGGTTCCTGATTTTAGAGGAATGGTTTCAGTTTTTCTCCGTTAAGTATAATGCTGGCTGTAGGTTTGTCATATATAGCTTTTATAATGTTGAGGAACTTTCCTTCTATTCCTAGTTTTCTTAGAGCTTTTATCATGAAATGATGTTGGATCTTATCAAAGGCTTTTCTGCATCTATTGAGATGATCAAGTGGTTTTTGTCTTTGCTTCTGTTAATGTGGTTTATTATTTATTGATTTTCGTATGTTGAACCACCCCTGCATCCTGGGATGAAGCCTACTTGGTCGTGGTGAATAATCTTTTTGATGTGTGTTGAATTCGTTTGCCATTATTTTGTTGAGGATTTTGCATCAATGTTCATTAAGGAGATTGGCCTATAGTTCTCCTTTTTGGAGGTGTCTTTGCCTGGTTTTGGGATAAGTGTAATACTGGCTTCATAAAATGTGTTTGGCAGTTTTCCTTCCCTTTCTATTTCATGGAACAGTTTAAGGAGGGTTGGTATCAGTTCTTCTTTAAAGGTCTGATAGAATTCAGCAGAGAATCCATCAGGTCCTGGACTTTTCTTTTTGGGAGACTCTTGATTGCTGCTTCAATTTCATTTTGTGTTATAGATCTATTCAGGTGATTAATTCCTCTTGGTTCAGTTTTGGATGATCATAAGTATCTAGAAATCTGTCCATTTCTTTAAGATTTTCAAATTTATTTGGATATAGGTTCTCAAAGTAGTCTCTGATGATTTCCTGGACTTCCATGGTGTTTGTTGTTATCTCCCCTTTTGCATTCCTGATTCTACTAATTTGGGTTTTTTCTCTCCTCATTTTAGTCAGGTTTGCCAGGGGTCTATCGATCTTGTTTATTTTTTCAAAGAACCAACTTTTTGTTTCATTAATTCTTTGTATGGTTTTTTTGGTTTCTATTTCATTGATTTCAGCTCTTATTTTTATTATTTCTCTCCCTGTATTTGTTTTGGGATTTGCTTGTTCTTGTTTTTCTAGGAGTTTGAGATGTATCATTAGGTCATTGATTTGGGATCTTTCAGTTTTTTTAATATATGCACTCATGGCTATAAACTTTCCTCTCAGGACTGCCTTTGCTGTGTCCCATAGGTTCCGGTAGGTTGTGTTTTCATTTTCATTGACTTCCAGGAACTTTTTAATTTCCTCTTTTATTTCATCAATGACCCTTTGTTCATTAAGTAATGAGTTATTTAGTTTCCAGCTGTTTGCCTGCTTTTTGTCTTTACTTTTGTTGTTGAGTTCTACTTTTACTGCATTGTGATCAGATAGTATGCACAGTGTAATTTCTATTTTCTTATATTTGCTGAGGCTTGCTTTGTGCCCTAGGATATGATCTATTTTGGAGAAGGTTCCATGGGCTGCTGAGAAGAATGTATATTGTGTAGAGTTGGATGAAATGTTCTGTAGACATCAACTAGGTCCATTTGATCTATTGTATATTTTAGATCTTGGATTTCTTTATTGATTTTTTGTTTGGATGACCTATCTATTGATGATAATGGGTGTTAAAGTCTCCCACAACCACTGTGTTGGAGTTATATATGCTTTTAGGTCTTTCAGGGTATGTTTGATGAAATTGGATGTATTGACATTGGGTGCATACAGGTTGATGATTATTATTTCCTTTTGGTCTATTTCCCCTTTTATTAGTATGGAATGTCCTTCTTTATCTCATTTGATCAATGTAGGTTTGAAGTCTACTTTGTCAGAGATAAGTATTGCTACTCCTGCCTGTTTTTGGGGGCCATTGGCTTGGTAAATCTTCTTCCAGCCTTTCATCCTAAGCCTATGCTTATTTCTGTCGGTGAGATGGGTCTCCTGTAAGCAACAAGTTGTTGGATCTTCCTTTTTAATCCATTTCATCAAGCGGTGCCTTTTGATGGGTGAATTAAGTCCATTAACATTAAGTGTTAGTACTGATAGGTATGTGGTGATTCCTGTCATTTAGTTGTCTTAGTTGTTTGAAGGTTTGATTGTGTGTACCTAAGTTGAGGTTACTCTCTACTGTCTTGCTTTTTCTTTTCCTGTGGTTTGGTGCTGCCTGTCTTTTCATGGTTAAGTTGGGTTTCACTTTCTGTGTGCAGAATCCCTTGAAGAATGTTTTGTAGTGGTGGCTTTGTGGTCACATATTGTTTTAGTTTCTGCTTATCATGGAAGACTTTTATTGCTCCATCTATTTTGAATGATAGTTTTGCTGGGTAGAGTATCCTGGGGTTGAAGTTATTTTCATTCAGTGCCCGGAAGATCTCACCCCACGCTCTTCTTGCTTTTAATGTTTCTGTTGAGAAGTCTGCTGTGATTTTGATGGGTTTACCTTTGTATGTTATTTGTTTTTTCTCTCTTACAGCCTTCAATATTCTTTCCCTAGTTTCTGAACTTGTTGTTTTAATGATGATATGTTGTGGGGTAGTTCTATTTTGATCTGGTCTGTTTGGTGTCCTGGAGGCCTCTTGCATCTGTATGGGAATATCTTTCTCTAGATTTGGGAAATTCTCTGTTATTATTTTGTTGAATATATTATGCATTCCCTTTGCTTGCACCTCTTCTCCTTCTTCAATGCCCATGATTCTCAAGTTTGGTCTTTTGATGGAGTTACTGAGTTCTTGCATTTTCTTTTCACAGGTCTTGAGTTGTTTAATTAATAGTTCTTCAGTTTTTCCTTTAATTACCATTTCATCTTCAAGTTCTGAGATTCTGTCTTCTGTTTGTTCTATTCTGCTGGATTGGCCTTCCGTTTTGTTTTGCAGCTCTGTTTCGTTCTTTTTTCTGAGGTTTTTCTTCTTTAATGTTGTCTATTTTTGTCCTGAGTTCATTTATCTGTTTATTAATCGTGTTCTCTGTTTCACTTTGGTGTTTATACAGTGCTTCTATGATTTCCTTTATTTCTTCTTTTGCTTTTTCAAATTCTCTATTTTTGTTGTCTTGGAATTTCTTGAGTGTCTCCTGTACATTTTGGTTGACCATATCCAGTATCATCTCTATAAAATTCTCATTGATTACCTGTAGTATGTCTTCTTTTAAATTTTTCTTGTGGGCTTCATTGGGTTCTTTGGCATAGTTTATCTTCATTTTGTTGGAGTCTGGATCTGAGTATCTGTTTTCTTCATTTCCCTCTGTTCTTGTACTAATTTTTTGCTGTAGGGAAACTGGTTTCCCTGTTTTTTCTGTCTTCCCATCATTGTCCTTGGTGTTGTTACTGTCCCTGTACTTGTCCACATCTTCCCAAGCAATCTGGGCGTGGGCGACTGGCGTCCTGGGGGCCCTCCTGGTTTCTCCATTTAATGTGAAGTGGAGATGCTTTGCACCGGCTGGAGGTGTGGAGGGGTCAAAGTTTTGCCTCTTCTCAGTGGTTTTGCCTGCAAAGTGTGTCTCCAGCATCTCTCCAAGATTTCACTATAGGAGGCATGCTTTCTGCTTCCTCCCTCTAGCCACCATCTTGGAGTCCCTCTCTTGACTTTTTTTTTAATTAACAAACCCCTATGTGCTCATTAAAGACAAATTGGAAAGTGAAGAATAAAAGATAGCTCAATTTTTTATAACATATATCTTTGCAGCAATAAATGGCTCTATCATCTGGGACAAGCCATCCAGTGTGGGAGTCTATGATAAAGACTGTGATTGTTTTCGAAGCGTTGAATGGGGCTGGAGCCAGGCCATCTCCTACCAACTACTGAAAAGATGGAGTTTCCTTAAAAATGATGATCTCATCATTTTGGTGGACTTTGAAGGTACTTTTTCTGGTCTTCCTGGGTCATTAATTCTAAGCTCACTATGCTCTACTGATTTACATTGATTTTAAAGCAACTGATAGAAAGTGGGGGTCTTTTTTGAGGATGAGGTATAAAAAAAAAGATACTGTAAAAAAGTCTCATTTTATTTGATTGGTGAAGGACTCACATCTTCATTTTTTAAATACATTTTTAACTGACACAAAAAAATCATACATATTTATGGGGGTACCATGTGATGTGTTGATACATGTTTTCATTGTGTGATGATCAGACCAGGGTAAACATATATATTTTCTCAAACATCTATCATTTTTTGTAGTCAAAACTATAATCCTCAACTGTCCTTGGGAGAAATGAAAATATCATCTTTTTCAAGTGTCATTTTTTTGATAACTTATCAAATATGAATTTGCTGACTTCAGTTTAGTTTCAATCAGCTTATCTATGGTAATGTCATGATTTTTTTTTCCAAGTTTAAAGGGTAAAGCTGTGACAGGACTACTGTAAAATAAAAACAGCTGGCACCACGAGAATCAACTGGACTTAAAGTTCCTTTTCCATATTACTAGGCAGATGTTGGTGTGGACAGAGTTGGCCCAGGGACCTTTCTCTAAAGTGGATGTTAATCATGATCAGCTATTAATCCAGGATCTTCCTTACCACCTTCTCTATTTCCTGAAGATATCACCCACCTGAGCCAGACTGAAGTTCCTACTCCAGGCAGAAGGCTGACCCCCCAAGGCCTTTTTCTTCAAGGCCAGGAGCACCAGGCCTCAGAAGAAGGCTCAAGAAAGGCCAAGTTAGAAGAAGTCCTACCTGGTACCCAGGACCAGGGGCAGCCCAGCCGACAGAAGCGGTCAGTGGAGAACACAGGCCCTATGGAGGACCACAACTGGCCACAGTACTTCAGAGACCCCTGTGATCCAAACCCTTGCCAAAATGAAGGCATCTGTGTGAATGTGAAGGGCATGGCAAGCTGCAGGTAGGCTCTGTGGCCAGGGGAGCAGGTGGCAGGTTGGCAAATCTAAGCTGAGGGTTTGCTCACCACTGGTAAAGGCACTGTTCGATGGTCCTGGTGATGGCTATATCAGATGGCCAATGGGATGTGGTTTTCTTCAACTCTACAAAGGTGTGCCCTAGCTCAGTTGGCTGACACTGTCAAGGCAGATGAGTCCCAAGTCCCTTGTCTCATTGCTTTCATCCTTTTCTCATCTCTAGGGCATTGTCAACATTATTCTAGATTTACTTCAATTTCTGATCTCATTAGAGTGCTCACAAATGACCCAGGGGCTTTGGTCTAGGGATTTTCTACTCCATGACCTGCAATAGGGGACTCAAGGTCAAGTTTAAATCTTCACTGACTACAGATGTAATCTTAGTTATTTCTTATTAGTAGTAATAGTCAATCTATAGTACACCCATTCTGCTGTATTATTATATTCTCAACAATAGTAATAGGAATATCTTTTTTTTAACTGCTTGCTATGTGTCACTTGTTCTCTTACATGCATGGTCTAAATTTATTCTTACTGTCTCCACTGACATAAGGACTCTTCTTATTCTCAGTTAGTGCATTGAAAAATTGAAGTTTAAAAAGATTGAATCATTTGTCTAAAATTATCCAGATGATAAATGCTGGAGCTGAGACTTGCATGATATACAAGTTGCTATATTTGATTGTTCGTTTTGTAATGTTTGTGTGCATAAAAACCTAAAAGAGTTTCATAGAAAGGATGTAGGTGATGATAAACATCATTGCATTTGACAGAATGACAGCAGATGTAAGAACCATTCTGCCTGTTTCAAAACACCTACATTTCCTTGAGCTCTGTTCAAACTTCACATGTTTCTTCTTTCTTTACTTTTACTTTGAAATAACTTTATGTTTAAAGATATACTGCAAAAATCCTGTGAAGTTCCTTTACACTCTTCAAGAATTTTCCCCTAATGTTAACATCTTACACAACCACAGTACCATTAGCAAAGTCAAAAAATGAACATTGATACAGTGCTATTAACTAGACAGCAAATTTTACACAGAGTTCCCCAGTTTTTCCACAATGTCCGTTTCTGTTCCAAGACCCCATAGTACATTTAGTTTTCATGTTTCCTCCTTCAATCTAGGACAATCCTTTCCTTGTCTTTTATTACCTTGTCACTTTTGAAGAGTACTGGTCAGTTATTTTGTATGTTTTCTCTTAATTTGGATTTGCCCTGTGTTTTCTCATTATTAGGCAGAGGTTATATTTTGGGCAAGAGTAGCAAAGAAATCTCAGTGTGTACTGTGAGTAGTGCATGATGTCCATGGTCAAGGGGGTGTCCACCAGGCTCCCTACTGAAGAGTTACCATTCCCCTCTCTGAAATTGTGTGTTGAGAGAGATCATGCGGCCATCTTGCTCTTTCTCAAATCCTCACCCACTAATTTCAGTGCTCATCAGGAATTCTGCTCATAGCACGCCCACTGTGATCTCCTGGTGGTGATTTCCTGTTTCCTCCACATTCACTAATTGGAATTTTTCTATAAAGAATAACTGTCCCCTCTCTGCTGATTTACTTATTCTTGTAATTACATGATTATTTCACTAAGGAATCATAAATCTATTGCTGTATGGGCTACATTTCAATAATTCTATCATTTGTTTTATTGCTCCTATTGTTGCAGCTTTGGCCTTTGGGTGATCATTCAGGTTGTCTCTTAATTTGTTTCTTTTTTTTTCTTTTATTAATTAATTAATTTCTTGTTATCATATTATAGTTGTACAGGGAATACATTGTGACATTTATATATGTGCTTATAATATATTGTAATTAGATTCACTTCCTCCATCTTTCTCCCTTATTCCTCCTCCTCTCCTTCATAAAGCAGTTTCAAAGGTTTCATTGTTCTATTTTCATACATGGATACAAAATACATCCAACATATTTGCCCTTCTTCACCTTTTCCTTATGCTCTCCCCATTCTCACTGGTACCCACCCTTTGATAAAAATTGTTTTACCTTCTGCTCCTTCGTTTTTTAAAAAACATTTCTGTGAATATATGATAGTTATATAGGGGATTTCATTGTGACACTTCCACATATACATGTTTTATACCCCAAATTGGTTCATCGCCTCCATTATTCTCCTTCCTACCCCATTTCCTTTCCTAAGGTGACTTCAACAGTTTCAACGTTCCATGTTCATACTTGTATAGAAAGTACATCAACCATATTCACCCTCTTTACTCTCTTCATTTAGTCTCCCCCTCCTCCCCTATTACCTGTTTTATATTCCTGTTTATTGTTCAGGTGTTTGTTCATTTCTCAGTGGGGATTTTGCCTTGGTATTTTACCTGTAAATATATTGTGCTTAATTCAGTCTAACCCCCTCTTGTATTCTTTCAACATCACTAGGCTTTCATAAACATGGTGTGAAACTTTCTGATACCAGAGGATGCTCCGGACTCATCTTTTACTTTTTCTACCTGAGTGATGGAACCCATTGTGTTTCTAAGCAGCCTGCAGTTTCCTTTTGTTTGTTTGCTTTCTTGTTCTTGCTGTAGTGGGGATTATACCCAGGGCAAGAGTTCTACCACTTGAACCCTGTCCCCATCCCTTTTGTTTGTATGTTTTTGTTTTTGAGACAGGGTCTGACTAACTTTGCCTGGGTTGGCATCAGACTCATGACCCTCCTGCCTCTGTCTCCTGAGTACTGAGATTACAGGTGTGGGCCTCCACACCCAGCTCTTCTCGTTCTTTTTTTGGGAGAATGCCTACATTGTTTCTTGTGGGGTCTGTAGCTACAAGTCTACACTTCTTAAATTGACAGGTATTTGGAGGTACCCTGACTGGCTTCATCCTTCCCTGGGTAGGGAAGGCCTAGGGTTACAGAAATACTCAGCCAAAGTATTTCTCTCCCAAACACCTGCAGCATGGGGCTTCTAGAATAAACTCTTCTAAAGTAGCATAATGGATGTAATTAAGCTGTTTTTGGATTAGACAGGCTGAGAAAAAAAAATTGAGCAAATTGCTATTACTGATATTAAAGAAGCCAATTCCTAGACTAGAGATGAATCCATTAAAAGGTAAAATAACTTCAGGGATAATAAGAGAAGTTCTTGACTTCTGATCTCTCATCCTGATATAGTGAGTAGACTTTGCAGCAGAGATGTTATTTGGAAGAAAGGCTAGAATTTTAATGGAAGAGAGGAAGCACTACCTAAGATGCCTTGGTTCTGAGATTTGTGGATTTTTATACAAAATAACATTTTAAAAAATCAAAAACTAAGCAATGTTTGATCATTATCTGCCTACAGGTGTCAACTACCTTGACAGGCACAGTGTCCTCCTTATTTCACATGAACTTCGGGTATACCTAACCCTACAGTAACATTTTATGTGATGTTGTCTGGAAGTTTTAAAGTTCTAACTAGTGCACTAAATCAAGGTCTATCTGATTTCTCTGTAGATAATAGTCTGAACCAGTGTCTGGTTATTTATTCTTAAGTGCCCCAAACCTTCCTCTTGAATTCTTGGCAGCCAAGAGTACTGGGTCTGGAGATACACCTCTTGGGATTAAGCTTCAAGTGTAAAACCCTAACCATGTGACCTTGAGCAAGTTATTTAACCTTTCTGAGATTAAATAAGAATGGCCAAATAATGACTTCTACCTCAAAAGGTTGTTGTGTGGTTATGTTAATTGATTGATATAAAGCTCTTAGAACAGGGCCAGGCATGTGCAGCTTCTCAATGATTGTTCACTGGACCTGAGGCCCAGGTCACTTCCACACTCTTCCCTGTGTCCTGTCCCCTCCAGGTGCGTCTCTGGACATGCCTTCTTCTACACGGGGGAGCGCTGTCAAGCCATGCAGGTGCACGGCAGTGTGCTGGGGCTGATGATTGGAGGCACAGCTGGTGTGATCTTCTTGATTTTCACCATTGGCTCCATCATTTTACAAAGGTCAAGGCAGTGACACATCTACTGACATCGGCCAGACTATAGAAGCACCTCCTTCACTCAGACCTTCCTTCTTGTGGCCAGTGCAGTTTGGAACAGTTTTTAATCAGCCTTACTTTGAAAGGCACACCCAGAACCAAGACTTCTAGACTTACCATTTTTCTGCTCCCACATGTTTCTGTTATCCTACTATGTGCTCATAATGTACACAGTGGGACCTGTGACAACACTCATCACACTTAATTATAAATTACTTGTGTAACTGACCATCTCTACCATAGATTATATGGTAGGAACATATTATCCTCATTTTCCATGCTAGCCCCCCTACCTCGAAGTATGCCTGGCTAGTATGTTGAATAATGAACCAATAAATGAATGAATAAGATATAGAAAACCTCTCTAGTTCAGATTAGATATATATGATGAAATACATACATGGGCATATTAAACCCAAATGTTCATTTTCTTTATCAGACACAGTAGTCTTATTGTTTTTTTTAACATCTTGATTGAGAAATTCAAATGAAGATTTCTTTAGGCAGCTGGGTTTCACAACATTTGCTTTCTTCTTCCTCTGATTCTAAGGAAAAGGCTTTAATAAATTTAATAAAGCTATAATTAGTATTTTCTCTGTGTCCAGCATCATGTATATGTCTGTGTGTTGGGGGTAGGGTGGGAATGTCCAATACCTCTTTTTCAGATTTTTAAATTATATTTTATATGCTATTTGTATGTAAAATGTGTTATATGTATCATATTATATCCATTATATTATCAAATTGAAGGTATCAAATAGAAGTATTTTTAGCTATACTTACTTAGTACCCAAGGAAATAAAATCTAGTTGGGGAAAGAAATGTCCAAAGTGGATCTAGTATAAAAGAAAGCTAAGGTCCTCATCCACAGTCACTGAAGAGCTGGCTCTAGAAGTTTAATAACAGAAGGTTTCCAGTAACCTGACAGACCCAGGCTTTATGTTACCAGGCTTCCTAAACATAGACTTTTTGCTCATTCTATAGAGTTAGAATGCACTGGAACCAAATATGAAAGATTAAGAAGAGTCCCTTTAATGCAAACATATGAAACAGCTTGTAGCAGGTGACAAAAAGACCATTCCTCTCAATGACTCTCAAATTTGAGGTACAGGTGTAGCCCCTAAAGGACTTGACCCCAGAACCTATAGTTCAAATAGGTCTAGGATGGGGTCTGGGACCTTGAAATTCTAACATGTTCCCAGGTGATTCTGATGTTGTTAGCCTCCTCTATCACACATTGAGAACTGCTCTAATGGACAGAAAATGTTTCTGGAAGCCAGGAGTCCTGGCTGAAGGCTTAAATTGGCCATCCTGCTAGCCATGTAATTTCAGTAAGAAATCACTTAAACTATTCTTGATCTTAGCTTACTAATCTGTCAAATGCAAACACAGTAGACCCTTGGTATCTGCAGGAATCTGATTCCAAGGAGACTGCCACTGAATAAGTACTGTGAATTCTCGTGATGCATAGAATTAAGTACTGTATGTGGATGCTTGATTCATTTTTCCTATATGCTACTCAACTTCCACTAAAAATATGCTACCTTTCAATAAATCTAAAAACATTCCACATTATCTCTTAAATTAAGCACATTATGTGATTTTTTTTTTGGCTTGTGAGGATTACTACAACCTTACCTTGCTTTTGGGGCACTGTTGGCTTTTTAGGAGCCAGATTTTCCAAAACTAAGGGTAGGGAAACACTCAGCAGATCACACAATGATTTAAACACAACTGACAACACAGGACTGACTGAGAGCTTCTCCAGGTCAACTGAGCTATGTAATTCATGTGTGGGAATTAAAATTGTTTAGGTTTGAAATTTCTTTTGACTTTTTAAATTTTTCGATATTTTTTACTGCATTTGGTCAAAATGCATGCCATAAATCATGAATAAGATGAGCTTAGTGTAATAGCTGACTACTCTCTGTTACTCAACTTTACCCTCCACAAGGATACAATATAATAAAATCACTGAGAGAACAACTGGTCTACTTGAATGAGCCAGTGGAATCATCTATTAAGTGAAGGAGACCCAGGAACAAATAGAGTTCTAGCCTAAGGTTTAGCCCCAAAAGATTGTTCAGTTCATTAAGCCTGCTAAAATATTATATTCATAGTTATTTTGGTAATTCTATTTCATCAATACCAAGATTATGATAAGTATACTTTATACTAATAACAAACCTTTTGTGTGATTTGAGATTGTAATATTTAAAGTTTTGCCCATTATTTCTCAAGGTTTTTGATTAGGATCTTTCAAATGTTAAATAACTATCAACTATAGGAGTGTTCACTTATTTCCTGAATTCTCTGAGTTCTGTACATACTCCACACACTGTAATAGCCATCTTGATGCATTTATAAGCAAACTCCAGTCTAACACCTTCTTCCTCATGCCCCTCCTTTCTGGTGAATTAAAAGAGACAGAATCTCTGGAGGACTCAAGTTCTAGAGAGAAGAGGTGCAAAGGCAGCCACAGAGCCACTTATCTGCTGAATCTGTCATTCTCATTTGACTACAGAAAAGCTTAATAAGGTTAGTGGTTTGGTGAGTGCTATAAAATTGTAGGATAATCTATATCTAACACAATAGTAAAGATATTTCTTACTAGTTTTTCTTTATTCTGAATACCATTTTATGTCAAATTAGTTACCTACTCATGTTTCCAGGTGTTTATGAAGACAGCTAAAACAATTTTTCTATGTTGTTTTAAATATATTTAAAATACATTTGCCTGAAATCTCTATGGAAAATGAATTTTCAAAAAGATGTATTAAGCCAGATATGGTGGTCTATGCCAGTAATCTCAGCTACTTGGAAGGCGTAGTCAGGAGGATGATGCTCCAAGGCTGCTCTGGGCAAAAACCGTAAGACTCCAGGGGCTGGATGTGTGGTTCAAGTGGCACAGCACTTTCCTAAGAAGGGCAAGGCCCTGAGTTCAAACATTACAAACCCCGCCAAAGAAAAAAAAAAAAAAAAGCATGAGCTCCTGTCTGAAAAACAAACTAAAAGTGAAGAAAAAAGAACCAGATGTGGCTCAAGTAGGCCTAGCAAGTGCTAGGCAAGTGTAAGGCCCTGAGTTCAATTCCCAGCGCTGCCAAGAAAAAGATGTCCAGTAACTCTACCTTATTTACAGATATATTAAGCATGGTGTTGACCAAATGTGGTCAATAAATAAATGGTCAAAATAAATTTCAAAACCAAAAAATTTAAATTCCATGCATGCATTACACAGCTCAGTTGATGAGGAGAAGCTCACAATCCATCAGCTGTGTTTAAACATTGTGTGACCTGCTGAATGTTTCCTGGGCCTTCATTTTGTGAAAATCTCAAAAAGCAAATAGTGCCCCAAAGGCAAGATAAATGTGATTGTTTAATTTAAATGATAAAGTGAGAATTTTAGATTTGTTGAAAGGCGGCATGTCTTTAGTGGAAGTTAAGCGGCATCATGTGAAAATGAATCAAGCATCTGAGTATAGCACTGAACTCTGCGCCCTGAGCATGCGTGGTTTCTCATCAGTGGACAGCTCCCTGGACCATATATCCACAGGGTCTCCTCTATTGTGTTTATCCTACAGCTGTAAAGTACTATTTAGCAAAATTTTGAGAGCCCTAGTGGGTATGGCTGGGAGACCGTGGGGTGGGATACTGGTGACCTCTAATGATTGCCCATGTGAAACAAAATGCTTGACAGGAGGAGGGCAGCTCAACTGTGTGTGTGTGTGTGTGTGTGTGTGTGTGTGTGTGTGTGTGTGTGAGGGGTGGAGCTAACAGTGAAAAAGGAATGAAGACAAGAGCCATGCCTCTCTGCCTTTTGCAGTGTTGTCAGGGCAGGTCCTGGAATTCCATAATGGACTCATCTTGGTCACAGCTTTCCTCAAGTCCAAGACAAATTTAAGACAATTTGACCCATGTGTGACTTACCAACCTTGTGGAAATTGTCGGGAACTTAAGATTTCTATCTTGTGAAGAGAACAAAAGGACAGTCTGAAAGAGAGATCCCCAAGAACGGTCTGAGGAGTGAAAGTTTATCAGCCCCAGGCAAAATGTCACCAACTGCTAATTTCCCTCTTTTCTCTGGAGTAGAATCCTAGAACCCTAGCTGCTCAGATGGCTACCCAGAATATAGTTTTCTGCTAGGTGGGGCAGTGTGGTCAAGTTTGCCTACTAGAGCAGAAACATGGCAACTTTGGGGAAGCTTTCTTCAAAGAGTCGGGGTCACACACCCATGGTCCCTTCCTCTGCCTTCGCCATTGAGAGGGGTGTGATGGTCTGAGTGGGAGCTGCCATGAGGCGACTCTGGGAAAAGAAGATTAAAAAAATAGAAGGGCTCTGGATTCCCAAGGACTACATAGAACCAAGGTATTGCATCAATCTTGAGCTGCTTGTCTGCAGACATTTTGTCCCAAACAAATAAACTTCTATTTTAAGTCAACTATTATTTTGAATCTTTATTAATTACAGGAAACAAACTCTTAACTGGCATGATGGGCACTGCCAGGTCAGTGAGTCCCACTACAGTCACCATGCCTACAGGGTCATCCACACACACAGGCAGATAAAGAGCTGTTCTTCCTTTTGGATCTGTCCGTAGGGCCATAGGCCTCAGAGATCTCTTTCCTTCCAGATTTTTCTTAGAATAAAATAAACAGACAAAGGGAGGCAAAACCACAGAAGGAAGAGGGAGAACTCTGAGAACACTGCTTACAGTCTCTGAACCAGTGCCTCAAGGTGTACCAATCTAGTACCTTCTCCAGTGAGAGGAGCTAACGAGGGCCCATTTTTACTTGAATTGGTTTCATTGTGGTTCTTTCACTTGTAACTGAGAGTATCTTAGCCAATACTACTGCCACAGCACATGAATGATTCATCTATAAAGACAGGAAATAATGGAATTAGTATGAAGATGAAATAAAACTATGCAACATGTACAATTACCAAAGCTGACTTGAGATGCAGACAAAAGAAATGCAATCAGGTTCACTCACTTGTTCTGTGACTTACTTTCATATTCTGGCTTCCTAATAG